CTATAGAGATTAACAGGGAAAGGGTCCCCCAGAAACTTGCCAGGTGCACACAAATAAAATCTCAAATCTCAAATACCACTTAAATCTCAAATACCACTTCTAAGCTCCTCACTCTACTCTCTACCAGGATTCCTCCTATTCAGTGCTCATGTTTCCCGTGCTAAATACCAAGGCACTGATGTTCTCATTTCTGATCTCTGAGGACAGGGCATTAGGAAGCCCCCTCTACTGACAGACAAGCACAGAAAGGGCGATGACTTTCCCAGGGTCACACAGCTGCTCAGGAACAGACTGCAGGTCTGGGATTCAGAACCTTAAACGCCTGACAGCTAGTCCCTGGCTCATCCCAATCAGAAAACTGCTGAGTTTGGGGTTGACTCTGGCTTTACAAGAGGAGTCAGAAATGAGGCCAGGTTCCACTTCATGTCAGGAAAGACTTAAAAAAAAAAAAAAAAAAAAAAGGCAAGTTGGGGCTGCAAGTTCCCAGCACCCTTCAAGTCCCAGCTGAGCTGGCAAGTTCAAAATCAGTGCTGTCACCTGCATGCCAGGTCCTTGCTGGAATTCCAAGACAAGGATAGGCTCTGAAAGTCAGGCTGTGAAACTGATGCCCATCTTTCCCATAGGCAAAGAGACAGAAATCAAATCCTATTTTTCAAGCAAGAAGTTCAAATGATTCATTCTCTTGCCTCAGGCATGTTCATAAGTTACTGCTCTAAGTGAATGTGGAAGGAGATGACTGCCCTTTCAGACTGCAGAGCAAGCTAAGACACGAGCATACGTCCGAGTGAGCATGCCTTCAGCTGCAGGGACAAGGGCTCCCTCGTCTTCTTTTCAGTGTTCAACTTCTGAAAATTTAGGGGCCCTGTGATTTTCTTGGTTTCAGAATGAGTCACCCATCACACTGAGGCAGAGCAATTTCTTTGCAAACCGGGGATAGGAGTGGAGGGTCCAGGAGAGCACATTCATTTCACACAATATCCTTATCTGGACTTAAATGTGGAGGAGGTGTGAATTTTGGGTGATGCATTGATAGAAGAAAAAAAAAAAAAAAAGACACACATGTTAATGCCATATTCAAATCAGGTCATGGCAAAATTGTGACTTGCAACCACCTGCCTTTTTACTCCTGTGCTTTAAGCCACCTTTTAAAGTAAAGATTTCACTACCAACATGGGGATGGCAGGGTAGGCAGGGGAAAACTGCTGTCAGCATCTCTTTACTGAAGAGTCACCAGTGCCCATCTGTTACAGCCAGGCTGTCAATAAGCCCCTAGACCCAGAGACAATGCAAGACGTTTGCTAGAGAAGAGATCATTTGGAGAAGAGATCATTTGGAGAGGAAAGACACCTATCCACCTCAAAACAGGAAGGGAGAAGGTGGCCCTCGGGGGATGAGGACACTGAATACCGTGGCTTTCTAGAGGAGGATCTGCTGTTTGTGCTGGCCTAGCATCGATGCCCTCTTCTTCTGATGAACACTCCTCATTTTTACCGAGAGAGTCACTGTAGGGAGACACGTGACCCAGGCCTGGCCAATCAGCACAGAACATCCTTTTCCACTGGTGAGCAAGCCAGGTCCATCAGCACCTACAGGCACCAGCCCCCAGGATTCAGCTGCAGCCAGTGGGGAGAAGCAGCTCCCTCTCCACTTAGTGGTAAGTTGGCAGGATGTGAGCCTGGTGCTACCAGTGGTCAGCTCTGCACTTGGGTCCAGTCCTGACTGGCCTCCTAATTACACAGACATAATCACCCCTTTTGCTTAAGCCAACCAGAGTTGAATTTCTAAATCTTGCAAACTCAAGAATACCAACATATCTTGATTTGAAAAGTTGTCCCCCTGTCCCATGTTGCTCGGTGGTTAGAGCACTGGCCCAGGATCGCTTCCTGCCACTGGTTGGGGTGCACGCGGGCAGCAACCAGTCGATGTGTCTCTCTTACTTCAATGTCTCTCTCTCTCTCTCTCTCTCTCTCTCTCTCTCTCTCTCTCTCTCTCTCTTTCTCTCTCTCTCTCTCTGAAGAACAATGAAAAAAATATCCTTTGGTGAGGATTAACAACAACCACACAAAAATTGTCACATGAATCATATTTTCTATACTCATAATTTCCAGAAGGAAAGAAAGGCCTCAAGCTTGATAAGACCATCCAAGGCCCACTGTAAACCTGTAAGTCTGCAAAAGTCAGGTCTCCCTCTCCCAGGCATCTCCCCCATCTACTGTACTCTGGCTTGAAACTGAATTAGGACATGTGCTTGATGCCCTTCCAAGTCACAGGAATTAACAGCTGTGTGCTTTCATCCAAACACAAATACAGTCTAGGGAAGAGAACACCCACCAGCCACACCTTCAAATATGAGAATAACTAAGAGATCAAATATGTGGTTCAAAATGCCCCAAATACAACTCCTGTTGTCCAGTTCGGTGTCTGATGGACGGGCTTGTGGAAATTGTATTTATTTACGGTGAGCTGGATGCACCACGGTCAAGAAAATAAGAAGGTACCAAAATGCTGAGGGGTTCATTGAGAGCCATGCTCAACTGAGCTCTGAAGTCAGCATTATGAACAAGCCAAACCTCTGGAGAAATTCCTGGGCCCTGTCTGGCACAACCCGGCCAAGTGACTGCCTGAAAAATAGGTTTTTGAAAACTGGGGGGCATGCGGGCTTGGGGTGCAGGAGTCCTTACCGCAGCGCAACAGCAAGCTGGAACTGCAGCCTGCAGAGCCGCTGAAGCGCCTGTGCATGAGGATGGGGCCGCGAGGCTGACTCACTTGGTTATGTGCTTGAGGCCAAGACTGCCCTGTCCACACCACGTTTAGTCACAGCCCAGCCCTGGTTAGAGAGCAGCCCTTAAAAGGACTGGAATGAAAGAGGGTAGCATCTTTCCAAAACAAAATTGACGAGAACACAAAGTACAAAATGGGGTAAAGTCATCCCTTGCCCCCTGATGTGGCTACAGGACAGCTAAATCTAGTGTTTAAGCTGGCAATTTGCTCCCAAGTTTAAAAAAAAAATCCGAATTATCCAAATAAGCAAACAAGTATGGCTTCCCTTATGTTTGCCCCTCTCCCTTGTGAAGCGATATATGTTGGTATTCCGATTTTCCAAGCCAAATGAGAATTTCTAAACCAAAATGCTTACTGCACACTCTGAACAGAAATAAAAGCATACTGGAACTCTAAGCCTTAAAAAGAGGGCCAGTTGGCACCAGAGAAATATTTTGGAGATACTTATCAAAATGTGATCGTGGCATTCAATGAGAACTGCCAAGAAAATCAGAATGGGGCCAGTGGCATGGGGGCAGGGGTGGGGGCGGGTTTTGGCTGCATAATTGCAGTAAACTTCCCCAAACAAATGAGTTCCCAGTCACTGATTTACTGAGCCACTCTGCTTCCCAGCTTCAGATGCCTGGGACTAGGGGGCTCACAAAGTCCAGGCAGGTGGGCTTAAGAGCGCTGGCTTCGGAGCAGCCACTGCTCGGCAGGACCTAGGAGGATGGCTTGCAGGAACTACTCTTCACATCCCCAGCAGACCACAGCTGAGAGCCAAGGAGAGCCAGAGCTTGTCCTAGGGTGTGCAGTGGGGGTTCAGTTCTAGCGACCAAAGCCCCCAGCCCACTTCCACCCCATCACCTTTTCACCCTGAATGTCCAGAGCTATGGCCAGGGACCCCGTCTGTGTGGCTGGTTATGTGCCCGGCCCATGACACAAGGAACTGGACAGTTTAAAGTAAAATCACAGAGCAGACCATGCTCTCCATATTAAAAAGGTCTTAACATCTATAAGATGGAGGTGAAAAACAAAACCGAATCATTCCTGACAAAGGCAAAAAAGAGGACTGAACTATTCTGCTTACTTAGCACATAAGCAGCAAACACAAGTGTACCTCACTCTAAACACATGGAACTTTAAAAAAAACCTAATGCAAGAATCCCAGGGATTTATATTTCATGATGTGACTCCAAGAAACAAATCTTACTAAAAGCATATAAGTTCATTAAACGCTCCCCACTTTTCTTCCTGCAGTGTAAGGAAGAATGACTTCTGTCAAAAATAATGACTTCTGTCAAAAAATAATAACCAGGTTATCATGAATAATAAGAACAGCAATAATGATAAAAATGATGATAACAACAGTAGTAGTAATAGTAGTAGCAGCAAGTATTTATGACACGGGCCAACCACTGTTCTGTGCATTTTACATATATTAAGGCATTTAATTCTTGTAGAAAAACTAAATGCTATTTGTTACCTTCTTTTTACGGATGGGGAAACTGAAACACAGATTAAGGGTACAGAACCCTGCCCAGCCTGTGTGGCTCAGTTGATTGAGTGCCATCCCATGCACCAAGAGGTCACTGGTTCAATTCCCGATCAGGGTATGTGCCTGGGTTGCAGGCTTGATCCCCAGTAGGAAGCATGCAGGAGGCAGCAGATCAATATTTCTCTCTCATTGTTGTTTCTATCTCTCTCTTCCTTTCCCTTCTTCTCTCTCTAAAAATAAATAAAATGTAAAGAAAAAAGAACCCTGCTCCAGGTTACCCATGCAGTGAGGGCAGGCCTAATACCAGATCTACCTCCAACTGGCTAGGTTGTTTACAGCAGCAATTTTTAAATGGAGTGCTGCAAGAATTTTTAAAACATGCAATACCTGATTAATCAGGGGCACTGACCTCTTTCCCCTTAGATTGCCAAGTAAAAAAAAATAACAATGGCCAACACAACAAATAGCTGTCTAGTGTAGATAAATCAAATATTATACCTATTTTATTTTTATTTTTTTTGTCAGATGGGCAAAAAATATATTTATTGGTGTGCTGCAGAATTTTAGTAATTAGTTTATATGTACCATGAGATGAAAACGGTTGAAAAATCACTGGTTTAGAGTGTGGTAGTCTGGTTTCAGGAATAAAAAGAAGCACCCACTGACACACAGGGGGAGACCTGACACAAATGACAGCCTGGCTCGCAGCGGGCAGCAGGGCAGAGTTCATGGGCACACTCACCTTCATTCTCCCCACTCGTCTTGATGCCTTTTGAACCACCCTCTGTACCTTTAGCCTTCTCGGCGTCATCTTGGGCATCCTCAGTGGGCCCTTTCTCCTCGTCTTCTTCCTCTCCGACATTTTTGTAGTTAGGTCTCTTTTGTACCCGCCGCTTGCCTTTGTGCTTGTTCATTTCAAGGGACCGCTCGAGTGTTTCGGTGGGTTTAACAAAGCACCGAATGTTCGGCTTGGCCTAGAAAAGTAGAACCGAGACAAAAGACGGATTTAAACCTTTGCATCTCACTGGAATCTATCAAGCTTTCTGAGAGTTTCTGCTCCAAGAAATTCATTTCCAAGATGAGTGCTACCTCCTAGTTGTTTTTATGACTATTATTAATATCATCATTATTAAATAATCAACACAATAACACCAGTTAGCATTCCACGGGGCTAAGTCAGAAACTGCACTTCACCAACACCATCTCCAAAGTGCCCAAAGGTCAGTCATTTGCATTAAAAACTTCTGCGAACACTCTACGGTATTTTGTATCTGCCAGATGTGTTCTAAGGGCTCTGACAATATTACCTCATTTAAACGTTACAACCTCTTGAGGTAGTACTATTGTTATCCTCATTTTACAGATAAGGAAATTGAGGGCCAGAGACGTTAAGTGACCCACAAGGCTGCACAGCCAGGAGGAGGAAGAACTGGAATTCAAACCCACATGCCACCTGCACAATTTGTCTAACTACAGCACATTGTTATCGTTATTAATTCTTATTTAAGTACAGTAGGCCCTCAAGTTATGTCAGAGATCCGTTCCTACAGTGCATCATAACGCGAAATCGCTGTAATTCGGAATCCACCTATATAAGCACCTACGTCACTCACATGGAGCACATACACAGCAGTAATGAAGTGAAACAGTAAAAAAAAAAAAAAAAAAAAAAAATTAAAAGAAAGATAATAATTCCTGGCCTTTACTTGTGGTAAATCCTACCTAATAAAAAAGTAATGTGTAAATTAAGCATCACTCTGCTATAGCCACGCCCACCAGCCATGCCTACCAGAGCAAGTATGCAAATTAACCCCAACCAAGATGGCTACAGCCACAAAGAGTAGGAGAGAAGCTTGGGATTCCCAGGCAATAGAGAAAGCCAAGCTTCTGCAGCCCTGACGGGCCTAGGCCTCCACTCAAAGCTACCAAGTTTCAATTACAGAAGGTAAACAAATCCAAACAGAAATGGTGGCAGCCATGGAGCAAGCAGGGGGCTTGGCTCCACTGCAGGCTACAAAGTTTCAATAGTAGAAGGTAAATAAATTCCAGATACCAAGGCCTCCGGTTGGGTTGCCAGGGGGTGTGGCCAGCCTGTAAACCACCACAGGCCCCTTGCCCAGGCCACCCCATGCCCCAAGGGAACCCCCACCTGATCCGAGACACCCTTCAGGGCAAACCAGCTGCCCCCCCCCCCCCCCCCCCCGTGCACCAGGCCTGTATCCTATCTAATAAAAGAATAATATGCAGATTGACCATCACTCCAATACACAAGATGGAGGGCCCCATGTTGTTAAAGATCCTGCCCCCATGTGGACACAAGATGGCCACCACATGATGCAGTTGGAGGCAATCAACCCTACAAGGGAGGGCAGTTAGGAGTGACCAGGCCAGCAGGGGAGGGAAGTTGGGAACAAACAGGCTGGCAGGGGACCCTTTGAGGGGTCCCAGATTGGAGAGGGTGCAGGCTGGGCTGAGGACACCCCCACCCCATGCACGAATTTTGTGCACTGGGCCTTTAGTAAATAATAAAAAACCATAAAGCAGCCGAGACCGGTTTGGCTCAGTAGATAGAGCGTCAGACTGTGGACTGAAAGGTCCCGGGTTTGATTCCAGTCAAGGGCATGTACCTTGGTTGCGGGCACATCCCCAGTGGGGGGTATGCAAGAGGCAGCTGGTCGATGTTTCTCTCTCATCGACGTTTCTGACTCTGTCCCTCTCAATTCCTCTCTATGTAAAATCAATAAAATATATTTAAAACAAAAAAAAACAAAAAAAACCCATAAAGCATATATATGCACATATGTCAAAATGACGGAACTTTTTTTAATATATAAATAAATGGGAGATGGCGACGTAACCACGCAATGACATATGTCTGACGTAGCCCGAGGACTGTCTGTACTTTGTTTTAAAAGAAAGAAATTGGTGTGTCACTAAAGGAAATGAAACACCAGTGTATCTTGCTATTATAAAAGTTATAAAAATAACAGAAAAGAAAAGCAAGGTAACTGAACGAGCCAAACGTTGGCTTCCTTTAGAAGGGGAGCAGGTATCGGTGAGGCATTAAAGCTCCATACCCAAAGGAAGTTTACCCCAAAGAACTTTTCCCTAGAACGTCAGAAGGCTTCTAAGAGAAATGAAGGCCTGTTGTGGCACCAGTGGTTCATGTCCCATATTCTGGAAAACATGGTTTATCTCAGACCTTACAACAACCAGGAGATATAGGGATTATCAGTCCCACTTTATAGATGAGAAAATAGAGGCTTAGAAGTGTGAAGTGACTTGCCCAGTGTCACAGCTACTGAGCAGCAGAGTCAGAATTTTGATAGAAGCTTGCCCAATCCCAACCCCAAGCTCTTCCTAAAATAGCAGTGCTTCACCCGGAGCTCAGACTCCGTTCCATTTAGTACTCCCTCAAAAGTATTTACCTGTAAATGGACCAGGATTAGAAAAGGGCAAAGACAAAGGAAAACAGCCTGATTTGTTTGGGGCAGGATTCTCATGGAAGTGTTTTTCTCTTTTCAGGGTCTGGATAATGGTCAGACATCATTCTGTCATTTAGAAAGAGGAAAGTTTTCAAGTAAACTTTTCCATTATCTTGATATGGTTTATCCATCTTCTGAATTTACCCCCAACAATGACCAGCTGTATTCTGGGGGCCATTGTATCTAGCCAATAAGTAGAATGTGCTCAAGGAACACAAATTAATTTCAATAACACTCAAAACAAAACGTAATTGAGAGCTAAATTAGCATCCAAATACAAACATTAATTTTTATTTACCCACTTAGGATTATTCATCCACAAAAATGACAAATCAATTGAGACATGATTCTAGGAAACCCAGAGAGCGAATTAGAGACACCACCCACCAAGAGCCCAGGGCATTCCGAGTGAGCGTGCACCGCTTGACAGACAGCATCCATCAGAGCCCACTTGGGATGCCGAGTGATCGAATGCAGCCCCAGATGCCCCCGTTCTCTCATGAAGGACCTGTACCCGGTAAGTTAGGGCCCTGAGATGAAGTACATCTTCCTCTGATCACTGCTTACTCCCAGTGAATATTAGAGCATGCCATCATAACCAAAGCTTTCAGAAACAGAAAACCAAGATCAAGCATGGGGCAAAACACCACCCAGTTGGAAGTTCCAAGCAGAAATTCACAAGGATGGATGTAGAAAACTGGCCCTGAGCTCTGTGTGGATGCAGAGGCACAGAACAATGGACAGAACTAAGGGAAGTGAGGTGGTGCACAAAGCCCAGGCTGATCCAAGCTGTGTGAACCGTAGCTGAACTCCACTTTGGCTATGGGTCCTCCCTGACCTTCAGGTTCCTGGTCTAAAACATTACTAAATGAAATCATGGACATAAAGTTCTTTTCAGAGCCTGTCAATACAGTAAGCATCCAACATAAGAATGGTAAGTTACCTTCCTTTCCCTGCCTACATTAAAAAAAAAAAATCAACTATGAGAATGAATTTTAAAACTTTCCAAAGGGATCTGCTTTTCTCGGTGACCGGGTATTGGGGAGTGGAAGAAGGGAAGGCATGCTTGCTGGGGGAATTTCAAACCTTTAAAATGTAACCTACCTAGTAAACTGCTGGAAATAACCTAAATGTCCATCAACAAGGAGTGGTTAGGTAATTACGGTCTGTCCATAGTGTGGTGAACTGATACAGAAACAGCACTAGGATGAAAAAGCAAGAACGAGGGCCACATTGGGACCCCTTTCAGGTAAAGCTTTTCAAAGGCTCCAGTTGGAAACACAATTTTCTTGGAAAGCTGCATTAAGAATGTAGAAATATTAAAATTTCATCTTTGAGGGAAGAAAGGAGGAGGCAGGACTGTGTGTGTCCAGCTGCACAAGAGCACTTAAATTTTTCTATTCTGAACCTTTCATTAGGTTTGAAATTTTTTTTAAAAATAAATCTTTATTGCTCAGATTATTACAATTGTTTCTCCTTCCTCCCCCCAACCCCCTTATAGCTCCCTTTCACCTGGTTCCCGCCCCACCCTTTGCCCTTACCTCCCCCTTGCCATTGTCCTCATCCAAAGGTGTATGATTTTAATCCAGTCTCTTCCTGCACTCCCACCCCATTTCCCTCTGATAATTATCAATCCACTCCCTTTCTTTGCCCCTGATTCTATTACATTCACCAGTTTATTCCGTTCCTCAGATTTTTAATTCACTTGATTTTTAGATCATAATTTTGATCATAATTTTATCTTGTTTTCTTCTTCTTCCTCTTCTTAAATAATACCTTTCAGCATTTCATATAATACTGGTTTGCTGATGAACTCCTTTAGCTTTTTCTTATCTGTGAAGCTCTTTATCTGCCTTTCAATTTTGAATGATAACTTTGCTGGATATAGTAATCTTGGTTGTAAGTTCTCGCTATTCATCACTTTGAATATTTCTTGCCACTCCCTTCTGGCCTGCATAGTTTCTGTTGAGAAATCAGCGAATAGTCGGATAGTTGTATGGGTGCTCCCTTATAGATAACCAACTGCTTTTCTTTTGCTGCTTGTAAGATCCTCTTTTTGTCTTTTGCTCTTGGCATTTTAATTATGATGTGTCTTAGTATTGTCCTCTTTGGATTCCTCTTGTTTGGGGTTCTGCACGCTTCCTGTACTTGTAAGTCTATTTCTTTCACCAGGTGGGGGAAATTTTCTGACATTATTTCTTCAAATAGGTTTTCAGTATCTTGCACTCTCTCTTTTTCTGGCACCCCCATAATTCTGATGTTGGTATGCCTGAAGTTGTCCCAGAGGCTCCTTACACTATCTTCAACTTTCTGGATTCTCTTTTCTTCTTGCTTCTCCAGAAGAGTGCCTTTTGGCTTTGTTTTCCAAATCTTTGACCTGATTCTTGTGTTCCTCCATTCTGCTGTTGGATCTCTGCATAATATTTTCCATTTCAGTCAGTTTATGCTTAATTTTTAGTTGGGTCTCATTAAATTTATCGGCCTTTTCT